GTGTGGGCTAGATGAGTGGACAGTGAGGTGGATTGGGAACTGGCTGAATGGCCGAGCTCAGAGCGTTGTGATCAGTGGTGCAGAGTCTATTTGGAGGCCTGTAGCTAGCGGTGTCCCCCAGGGGTCAGTCCTGGGTCCAGTGTTGTTCAACTTAATTATCAATGACCTGGATGAAAGGACAGAGTGCACCCTCAGCAAGTTTGCTGATGGTCCAAAACTGGGAGGAGTAGCTGACCCACCGGAGGGCTGTGCTGCCATTCAGAGGGACCTGGACAGGCTGCAGACTTGGGTGGAGAAGAACCACATGAAATTCAACAAAGGCAAGTGTGGGGGTCCTGTGAGTAGGGAGGAACAACCCCCTGCACCAGTACAGGCTGGGGGTTGAGCTGCTGGAAAGCAGCTCGGCAGAGAAGGGCCTGGGAGTCCTGGTGGACAACAAGTTAAGCATGAGCCAGCAAAGCGCTCTTGTGGCCAAGAAGGCCAACGGTCTCCTGGGATGCATTAGGCAGAGTGTTGCCAAGCAGGTTGTTTTTTTTTACGTCCATTTACCTGGCTAGTAACTATATGGAGTGCATGAGATCCCTTTAGTACTTCTCTCCTTTCAAGGACAGCATGGATGATATGGTTCTTGGCATGGGGCAGTCCCAAAGATATCCTTTGAGAGCTTGTTCCAGTCTATTACAGTGGAACTTACTTAACCAGCAGCAGTGGGAATTGCTCCCATTTTAGAAACCACTTCTCTTATCTCCATCTTGAAATCATTTCTGTCCAGTTTAGAAGTCAACTGTGATCTTTAAGTTAAGCAGCCCTTCTCCTTCTCCATTTTTTCTGTACTGACAGCAGCCAGTTCTCTCTTCAGCCTTCATTTGCTTACTGTGAACAAGCCAGCTTTGTTAGTCTTTTCTCATTAGATTAGATCATTTTATCTGCCTCCACCTCTCTCCCCTGGCCAGTGTGTGGTCTAGTAGAGGTGGTTAGTAGGAGTGTCATTACAGTTGCATGATAAAAACTCATGATATGTGCAAGCTCCTCCTCCCCTACTTAAGATTCATTTAAATTGGGCACTCTGAAAAGAGTACAAACACCTAGGGGCAAAAGGGAGTCAACTGAACATGTGTATATGTAGGCTGAAAATCAGGACCTTCATTAGAGCTGCAGTTTCTGAAAACGCCTTGCAGGTTAGGTAAGACCTAACTGCTTTTGCAATAGAAGCATGATGGGTCTAGATGCTACAGCTCCTTGCAACAGAAGAAAATTATATCTGAGGACTGTAGCATCTGTGGGTTTGGAGGCTAAACATGTTGATGGATCTGAGCTGACTGTCCCTCTGTGGTGAGTTAGGAAAGGCATATTTTTTTATTACCTCTTTTGGTCCTTGCTTTCTCCCATGCTCATCAGAAATACTTACCAGTTCTTGAAAACTCCATATGCATTGAACCTAGCTTCATGCTCTTGAACATCTGGTGTGTCCTTGAGACTGTATCTGTCCTTAGTGCTTTGAGTGTGCTGAGTTCCCTGTTCTGCATGGAACAGTTTGATGATGCCCAGATTATGTTGGTTATTCCCCAGCTTCGTGATGCCTTGGAGAGTTGCTCCGCTGCCGACTGGGAGTGCTGAAGGACTAACAAATTTTCACACTTGTAAATCTGTTTATGTAGGTCCTTCTCTTGTTCTATGTTTTGTTTTGACCATACAGACACATGAGCTGGAGACATTTTTTCTGTCTTTACTTCAAGTTCAGGATCTTGTGTTCTTGTAGTTTAGCTGTATCTTGGGGTTGCCATGTTCCTCTGGGTAAGACACCAACTTGCTACAACTCCGTACCTCTTTTGTAGTGCACTTATATACTATGGAAGTATAATTTCATTACAACCTTTGCTGAAATTATTTGAAAACTGCTGTCTGTCACTTAGAAATAAAGCTCTTCAGTGGTTTGTGGTGACTCTCTATCTGCATGCTTTCCTGTCCCTAGACATTCTAGATGAGTGTTCATGAGCGGAGTTGTGTAAGATTTTCCTCTCTCATTAGGTGCCTGACAATGGTAGCCTTGATTTGAAAGCTGCAGCTTGCCTTCTTGTGGGAGGACCATTCAAAGTCTATTTCACTGGGATCAGCTTTTAGGAACCTCTCTCATGGTAGCTCAGAATGAACGAGTTGGTTGTCAAAACAACCTCCACTCAAATGTGAAAGAGCATAACTGATACTGATGGGGTATTGGAAAGGTTAAGAGGCGTTAGGAGTGTAACTCTTTCCTTGATCGGAACTTGTTTTCTGGGTATACACAAAGCAGCTGTCATTGAGTGTCTATGAATCAGATCCAAAAGGAAGCTAGTCACTGCGATGCCAGCACTGAGGACTGGCTGTTGGCCAGAGAGTTAAGAGTGCCTGAGCTCTCTATGTGCATGAGATACCTAGCTTTTGTATGTGCTGGTGCAGGGAGATGTAGGTGTCTATTCACATCAGGGAGGACTTTGCTGGGATGCCCATCCCCCCATTTGATATACCATTGTATACCAAAGAAGATATACCTTCTTTGCTTTGGCTGCCTCTCCTGGGGTTGCTGGGAGACCTCAGGAAAGCTGAGCAGCAAGGCCTGAAGTCAGTTATCTCCAGCTTTCCCATGAAAGGCAGGAGGAAGAGACAAGCCAGTGTCTAAACCATGGGAGCAGGGAGCACAGTTGGTGCCTTTCTTTATTGTCATGCCTTTCCCCAGCTTCTTTGTGAGTTATTGTTCAGGCTTGTTCATTTTTCTATTCCATGGATTTTAATCTTGTTCTCCAGGCTGCAGGTGATGATTGGTGTGGTTTTATGGTTCCTCTGAATCCTTTTGATAATCTGCAACTTTTGGTCCTGTTTGGAATTTAATATTGTTACTCCTCTTCTAAGAGACAGCTGCTTGAGCAAGGCCTGTTATGCAGCTGATGAGACACTAAGCTATTGTTTTTCAGCTTAGTCATTGCATTATTGCAAAGATACTTTTCATGCTTTGGTTTTAGGAGTTGAAATACTGATGGGGCACTCCCAGATTCTACTTGCTTTTTCCTGATTGATTTCTTACGTATGCAGATGCTGTCTAAACATGTGCCTGCCTCTGGCTATGAAAACGTCAAGAATAGCTGTTCTTGCTGTGTTTTTCTTTTTGTCTAGACGTGGCAGTTGTGTGACTTTTCCCACTCTAGTTGAGGAATGTCCAATTGCTAAGCCTGGTCTCTCTAATGCTTACATGTGTGGGGCAGGAACTGGCTGCTAAGATCATTGATTTTCTTTTTCTTTCTCTCCTCCGTAATACTAATTTCTGATTTCCTGTATCTCCTGAAGTCAGTTCACTTCTACACTAAGCTTGATGCTTGCACAAAGAAGAGTGAGATAGCTGGGACAGTACAACAGCCACGTGTTTATGCAATCCTGCTCCCTCCCATCAAAGACTTTCTTACAGTTTTCGTAGTTCCCCTGCACAGAGCTTGATATAAAGATGTGCTTGCGATACAATGCTCCTGTCCGTGAAGGGAGGTTGTCTCTCCAAACAGTCATTTTTCTACGAACCCAGACTACACACTCTCCCTTCACATAAACCATCTTGCTATTGTATGTTTTCGTCTGCTCGCCAGCCTGCTCCTACATGCAGTTCTGCTGCAACTTGCTTGCTAAACCGGCTTTCGAATGTTATCTTAGCTCCAAGCAGCAAACAGCCTTTATGAAGCACCTCTCCTGAATCCAGCTTTGCACCACCCACATGTGGGAATCCAAGGGAATCCAAGCTCTGCCCCACAGTATCCATTTACTGCTCTGTGTAACACTCCTCTGATGAAGCCTGGGCTGAAAGGATGGAGATATTGCCCATTCACTATCCCTTTACTTTTCTGCTCATCACATTTCTAGTCTTTTATCATGTGAATCCTGCATTCAGATATTTCTGCAAGATGTCCTTCTATAAGTTGTGGATCTTCATCTTATCCTGTCTTATTATTATCATCAGTGTTCCTCGTGGACGTAACGTGGAAAACATGAAGTAAGTTGACTGTGACTTCTTTCTGCTCTAAGCATTGATAGAACTGACTCGCACTCTATTTTGGAGGCTCCTGCGAGTTCTGCTGCAGTGGGGAGGAATGAATTTTATATTGGTGTGGAGAGTTGCCAGGCCCTGTAATTCAGAGGACAAATGTGGTTTTCCGGATCTTATTTGTCTGCAACAAGTTGCAGGACTTAACTGGAAACTGCATAGCTAGATGTATTCATGTGAGCTGTGATTAGTAGCAGGTTACTTTAATAGACAAGCTCTTGAGGTGTGGGTTGAGTGGGGGACTAGACGCCAAGCCAGTCACTTCTACTGACTCTGCTACACAGCAGTAGCTTCTGGCAGATAGGACTTGTAGCCTCTTGAAGCGCTACAGAAGTAGGATTTATTACTCCAGAAGGTAGTGTATGCTGCAGTGGGAGTTCCCAGATGTACCTCTTACTTGAACCTCAGCCTTTCGCTTTAAGAAATTTTCTTCAATTCTTGAACTGTTTTATGCCTTACTTATGTTCTCTTCCTTTTAACATCTTAACATCTCTCTACCAAAATTGCAGTCTAAGGTCATCCAGTGCCAAAAACGTATCTCTTCCTACAGCCTGGGCAATACCAGTGTGTCCATGGCGCATTTATTGCAGGCTCTATTCATGATTCAGAAAGGTGGGTAGGGAAGTAGAGTACAAATAAGTGCACTATGGCTTTGAGCATTATATGATCCATAGAATTGCTGTAGCTGGAGTTGCTAAGCCATTGGTCTAATCTGGCTTGAAGAAAACCTACCAGTTGTATTTGTCTGATATAATGAAATAAAGAGCTGAAGGGCCATACTAGTTGCTGTGCTTCAAGATAAACAAGTCATGGATCAAATCTGGCACAGCAGCGAGACAGGCTACTTCGCAGGAGCAGACTATGAGATGGGCTAGTTCAGGTGGATGGGGTTTGGTCCCTTATACAATTTCAGCTTCTCTCTGGTTCATGTGTGCTCCCCGTTTTCCAGGTTTCTTTGCATGATGTTACTGCCACTCAAATACATCTTTGGTATCAAGATAGTGGTGAAGGGCAAGGAGAACCTCAGAACTAAGAAACCCTTCATACTTGTGTTGAATCACCAGACCTCCCTTGACATTATGGGTATGTAGAGATCCTGCCTGCCCTGCTCCTGGCCCCAGTGCTCTGGGCAGTATGAGAGGGTAGTATGAGAGGAAATCCAACTACTCCAGAGGGGCTTGCAGGCAGGGAGCAAAAGTCTTGCCTTGACTCTTGCAGCTTCTCCCAAGCAGAAGTACCACAGGCAGAAAGGCAGGAGTATTTGGCCATGATATAATCCATTCCCAGTCAGCCCCAAGCCAGAGCTGTTCTCCAGGATATTACAGCCCAACAGGAATTTTTCAGCTTAACCAACTTCATTCTTTGCAAGAGAACTAGGCTAAGAGCGCCAGCTGAGTGACTACAACTGTGTCATAGCTGCTCTGATTCAGGGTTGGCAATGGTCCCACTCTAAGTGGCGGTTGTTCTGGAGACCTCCAGGGTCCCTTTCCCAAAATGCCTATGATCCTGTGATGCTGGGTAGTGTAGTAGGAGCTGCAGGCAAGACATCTCCCGGAGGGGCGTGCTATAGCCTAGAGGCTGGAGGGAACCTCAGGGCAGATGCCAACTTGTTCTGTTCTTCCCCTCCAGTGATGATGGAGATACTACCAAGTCACTGTGTGCCCGTTGCAAAGAAGGAAATCCTATACATGGGTACTTTTGGCCTGGCATGCTAGTTTTCAGGCATCATTTTCATTGACCGTGAGAAGAGTCTACCAATACCTTGACAGAGGTGGCGCACTCCATGCACAAAGAGAATGTGAGTGGGGAGAACAGTTTGGAGGGGAGCAGGAGGCAGTTTGAGCCACTGGAAAATGTGAACCTTGATGTGACTGAAAGGGGATGTTTGTATCCGGGCTGTGCACAGAACAGAGCAGGGTAAGAGCACCTTAGGTAAGGTAGATGTGTTGCATGTTCTGAAAGTGTTTGTAATGGAGGAAGTGGATGTATCTGTGTGATAGGGAGCAGATAGATCATTCCCAGGTGGTGTGCAGTGGTCTAAGATAATGCTGGGAGTGTTGTTCCTTCATGTCTTCTCCCTCCTGCAGTTTCGAGTCTTGATCTTCCCTGAAGGACCCTGTAATCATGGTGGATCCATGTTGCCCTTCAAACGCGGGGCCTTCCAGTTGGCTGTGCAAGCCCAGGTGAGAGCCATCTTCCTCCCACCCCTTGGGATGCAGTTTGTCTGCCATGGTCCACCATCAAGCCAGGGCTACAAGGTTTCTGGCCCATGGCTTCCCTTTGGATTGAGCACATATTCAGGAGCCTAGCAGGAGCTAGGAGTGGCACAGGCTGTGACAGGTGGAAAACCTCTGTGACTCAGCTTGGGAAAATGATGGAGTGACCCTGACCAGAGCCCTGGGTTCATGGGGGAGTTTTTCCACAGCTCCTGCAGAACAGGCCACTCTAAATACTCATTTGGCAATCCATGCATTGTTGACCTCACTACAGAGATGTAAAGGTGAAATGCAGCAGAGAGGATATTGGGAGATATTCTTAAATGATCTAAATAACCCTCTGAAATTCTACTAGAAGCTGGCTGGGATAATTATCAGCGATGTGCTTAGCTCACCTGAGAACACCAGTTCCCTTTTTTGGGGGGTGGGGGAGGATAGGGAGATTTGTATACTCAATCACTGTAGACTGCCTCCCCTCCAGGTCCCCATTATTCCTGTAGTGATCTCTTCATATGACAACTTCTACAGCCAGAAGAAGAAGAGATTTACAACAGGTAAGGGTCACTTGGGGCAGAGAGCAACTCCTGATCTCTCTCTCATTATGGTCCAGGTGTTGGACTAGCCGAGTCCTTAGAGGGAGATATGAGGTGAGTGGGCAGAGGACTATGTGCAACATGGGGGTAGCAGCCAGACAAATGCTTCTTCTTTCTTCTTGGGAGGAGAGGGAGCGCAAGATTTCAGACAACACTTCTGCTTCCCCCCATGAATTTCTCACAGCTTGTTCGAGACCTGTACCGGGGAACCTGGGAGAAGCAGCAGAAACCTGGGGCAGATACTTCCCCTTGCCCCATGACACTGTCCGTGGATCTGCAGGTGCATGGAGCAAAAGGGACACAGAGCTCTCAGAAAATGCCACACAGAATTCTGTCTCCTCTCAGTTACCACATTCTTTCCATGTTTCATCCATTTATGATGACAAGGTCTCTGCTAGTCACTGATAAAATTTCAGGGAGAAAAAAAGATACAAGTCTTGGACTCCATGCAGAAAATGCAGAAAAAATCTGTCAAAAATCAATAAAGAAAAATCAAATATCAATAAAGAAAAATAACTTGCCTTGTTCCCCCACTGTCTTCCCTGCTGCCCCTTCCTCCACTCCAAAATAGGCTCCTGCCATTTCCCACTGTCTTCTCCCAAGCCAAACCTGCTCTTTCCTGAGAGGCATATTTGCAGATTACATTCTCATTCTTTCTATCCTTTGTGGCATTCCCTGGCAGCACACACGTGGAAAAGAAAGCCAGGGCAAATGTTAAATGCTGCAGTATCTATTTCTGCTCACCTTTACCCTACTGGATCTGTTCTGTCACTGTTGTCCATACACAAGAGCTTTTTGGTATTGGAAGCATTCTGCCACGTGGGAGTCAGATATTAGCATGAGCAAGGATTTCAGCTGTCTGCCCTGCTCTGCTTGCCTGCTCCATCCCCTCTCCACCCATAATATCCCTGATCAGTTGCACAACCAAGTATAAATTGTAGGGTCAGTCATTTACTGATTGCTAAACCAGTAGGCCCTTGACTGCTGGAGAAAGAAACACAATGAGCTTTTCTTGTAACCTTCCCTTCCTCTCTCCCCCCGCCCCCAACACACACAGACACTTTTCCCATCTGGAAGTTTTGCCAGCATTGATTCTGAAGATGTGCTACACAGTGCCAGGATTTCTGCATGTCAGGGTGGCTGATCCTTTAGGTCGTGAGAGCTTTCTGTGTAAGCAAGGGCTCAGGGTATGCTGATGAACTTCCGGAAAGCCCAGTCTTGTGTCTGCTGTGTGCACACTGGACAAGTCTGGTGCACACTGCACGGGACAAGTCTGGTGCTTATGAGAAGTCTATTATAGCCTGACAGTGCTACAATTACAGCATAGCCCTGTCATCATTCAGCTTTTTCTGCAAGGCCAGGAGAGGTATAGGAGACTCCTGAGACACCATGCTTAGCTTTGGATGGAATGAGTTTTGTGTGCTTGCATGCAGGCAGGGAGAACATCTTTTATGAAAGACTCTTCTCTTTGCTTCTGTTTCACCTTCTTTGCATGGTTCTGCTAGCAGCTCTTCTGCATCTCCTTTCACAGCACGCATGTAGAGGCATGAAAACATGCTAAAAATTTAAAAAGTAAAATAGACACTCTCCAGGTCTTCAGGTGGGTGTATGTACAGGCAGTGTCCTTGTCTCCACCGGCAAGAACAACGGCCAATGAGTGGAAGAACAAAAGAGTATAATGATAACTCTTTAATACATTCATCATGTTTCCAGCAGTCTGTTGCTTAAACTTGTTGTCTCTTAGCCAAATGGAGAGTTCTGGCATGATTTCTCTCATCCCAAAGTGCATTTCTGGAAGGGATGACTCTGCTATATTGAGTATACATAGATCAGAGTATGGCCAGTCTGGATGTATTGTATTACCAACATCTCATCGTCTTTGCCCTGATCTGGAAAGACCCTGAAGTCTAGGTCTACCTAGTTGTGGATTACCCCTTTCCACTGTGAAAACTGACCATTTAGTCCTACTACCTGTTCCCTGTCTGGTAACCCCCAATGGCCCCTTATTCCATTGTAAATTATTGCTTTGGATGTACTTGGGGGTTTGTGTATGGAAGAGGGTCACATGTTTCTATATTTATGACTTTTTGGTCTCTGGAGACAAGAAAAGTCTGGTCTGGGTTTCTGCTGTGTATATTTGGGACATAACTAGGTTGGTGTGTGGAAGAGGGCATTTCCATTTGTTTCTGTCTTTGTACTGATCCTTATGCTACACCTTCTCCGGCTCTCTTATACCCATCACATACTACTTCCTTCCCCCTCTCTGACCTTCCTGTCTTATTTTTCTAGGAAAAACCACCATCCAGATCCTGCCAGAAGTGGAGACCCTTGGCCTGGGCCCAGATGATGTTCCCAAGTTCACTGAGCAAGTCCGTGTCTCCATGCTTGCCACCTATCAGGAGATATCAGGAGTGGTGAATGGGGCTTCCCACTAATGATCCTACCTTTCAGCTCCAGTTTAGGGTGTAGGAGTTTAGAGAAAGGGCATGGCAGCCACAGGAAGATCTGGAAGCAGAGATAAACCTGATTTGCAGCTTTGATATAGCAGTGATGGGCAAAATGTCCACAAAGGAAAACTTTTAAGTGGAGCTGGTGAAATTGCTCCCCTGTTGCTTCCAAAGAACCGTGACACGTGAGCTGTGCACTAAACACACCAAGGAGAGCAGGACGTGTCTTTTAATCATAGCCCTAGGAACTTCTATCCTACTGGACCCCAGCCAGTCTTAGACAGAGCTGGACCCTTTGTGTGATCATTGCTTCATGTTTATAATCACCATTTTTAATTCAAAACCAACAAGGTGGAGACATTTATTCGTGGGCCCATGGCCATTCCGCCAGATGTCAGGGCCCCCAGCCAACACCTTTGGGGAAGTGGCTGTACATCTTGGGGCAGCAGGCTACCATGTTCACTTGAAAGCACGTTCAGGAGGAAGCACTTTCTCCTGCTTCTCAGTGGGGATGGACTTGAGTGTAACTTCTACCACAGGGTGGGGAGGCAAGGCAGCTTTGGGAGAGGGGAATTAAAGACCAATATGTTCCTTACATGTGTCTGCGGGGATTGGTGGTTTCTTTGTTTTCCTCAGGCTTCCTTTTAAAAAAAGCAAGATTTTATTTTCAGTGGTTAGGCTTGAAAATGTGAGGCGAATGTGCCCAAGGGACTTAGATACCAGAGGCAAACAGCAGAAATGTATTGCTTAACACCCTGGCCATGGCCTGTTAATCTCATGATTTTTAACACAGTCTAAAGACCTTCAATCCAAATGCATTCTGGGATTACTGATTTTTGAATACTGCCTGGTTTTGCCCTGTTTTCTAATGTCTTAAACACAACATCTGTGGCAGGCCAGGGAAAACACAGCGCTGCAAAACAAAACAAAACAAAAAGCCTGAGATTCAGGCACTTAGCTTCATTTTTGCTGTGAGCTATATTATGATTAAAATCCAAAAATGATGGTATGTGCTTGTATATCGGCCAGCCTCATGGCCATGGCCTGAAAGAGACAGCAGCTCACCATGACACCCAAGAAGTCCTGCAAGGATACATCTGAGAAGTGAGTGAGGTTGTGTTAATATAAGAGATCTTGATCCAGTTAGTGCTGTCTGGGAAACCAGGCTGCACAGCTAGCGTGCCGCAGCATCTTGTGCCACTCTTCAAAAGCATGTTGCAGGTATGTGGTGATCAGTGCAGGCACCTCCCAGCCGACAGGGCACCAGTTGCAGAAGGGCCAGGTGTGTGCTGGGGGACATAGCTGGAAACAGCCACCACTTGTAAAACTACTGTTTATTTGGCTTTCCTGGAGTCTTGCCTTCCCTGCCTGGGGAAGGTCGCTGCAGCCTTGGCCTGTGGCCCGGGCTCATTAAGCAGCACATTCCCCACTCCCCATCGCTGAGCCCCAGGACTTAGCAGTGCAGCCGATCCTGTGTCATGTGTGGGCAGCACAGCCTTCTTAGGGCACGCTGGGGTGAAATGGGATTGGCTCACCAGCACAGACCCACAGCAAAGCCTGCATGCAGGCTCTGTAGCTGTAAGATGTTATGTGACTGAATAAGGCACCTCTATAATGAGTCCTCCTCAGAGAGGCACTTACTCCACCAAGAAGCTTCAGATATGAGTCTAGCTTAGGTTGCCACTGCTTGTCACTTATTTTTGCTCCCATTTCCTGCCCTCCTTCCCAGCTGGGCTAAGGAGAGATGGAAACAATGGAACTTGTGGATGTTTGATATTTATTGAATTAATAGTGTGTGTCTTGGGAGTTGTCACTCCAGCCAGCTGATTAATTTTTAGTCTTAACATTTGTGAATTACATACCAGGCAGGTTATGGCTTGTTCTTTTAAGCTGAAAGGTCTAGCTATGAACCATAGTCAAAGAAGTTTTGGGCAGATGTTTAATTCACACCAGAACTGATACTAAAAGTAAATGAGTGTGTACAATGTATTTCACTAATGCCCAGCACACCCAAACACACGCAGATACAGAAGTTCACTTTAGGATTTAAATAATAGAAGACTGAGAGGCGATCTCATCAACGTGTGTAAGTATCTGAAGGGGGAGTGTCAAGAGGATGAGGCCAGCCTCTTCTCCATGGTGCCCAGCAACAGGACACCATGAGGCAACAGGCACAAACTGAACCACAGGAAGTTCCACCTAAACCTGAGGAAAAACTTCTTGACTGGGAGGGTGACAGAGCATTGGAACAGGTTGCCCAGAGAGGTAGTGGAGTCTCCTTCCCTGGAGATATTCAAAACCCGTCTGGATGTGATCCTGGGCACTATGCTCTAGAGGCCCCTGCTTGAGCAGGGAGGTTGGACTAGATGATCTCCAGGGGTCCCTTCCAACCTAAACCATTCTGTGATTCTGTGATTCTGTAATAGATGCCTCTAGATCTCAAGATGCAGCTGCCATTCTCCGGTGTCTTCAAATGCTGAAATCTCAGTACTAATTACAAACAGTCCAAACAATTTATGTTCTTGTGCAAAACAAGGAGATAAGAAAAGTTGTGATAATGATTACATGAACTTGTTAATTTCTGAGCAGGTACGAAGGATAAGGAGTTTGATTTAGAATGCTAAATTAGTGTTTAATAGGCTGTAATCAAGAGCTTGTAAACAAAGATGACATTTAAAACATGTTTCATCAAAGCACTGCAGCTTCCAGATTTGCCACCCCTTCAGGATTGGAAGTAGAAAACTTCTGTCTTGGTTGTTTGTGTCTTTGGAGACTCATAAACAGTACAGCACGTAACTAAGTCTTACCAACCTCTGAACATTTTTTAGGGCAACAGACAACAAAATGTCACTACCCCTTCTGTCTGAAGAGTTGCATAGCTGGAAGTTTTTGCAAATGAATGAATAAAAATCACAGTATGGAAGATACAACAGTAGATGCAGTCTTGAACTCCTTTCTAGGAAAAGCATGTGCAAGAGGTTCAGCTGACAGCAGTCAGACTAGGCATGATGTAGGCAGCAGTTCTCCAAGAGCAGCTGAGCATCATTAGGCGTTCCCAATGTTGGGCCGATGAATAAGATTAGAAACTGTCAATAAAACAGAAAAGGCTACTGAAAGGCGGAAAATCTTTCCTGGACACAATATTTCTCCTCACATTTCTACTTGACTCCACAGCTTCAAACAGTCATTGGTCATGGGTATTCAGTTACCCTGAATACCCAATACCCAGAGGCAGATACCCAGGTTTACCTGCTTATCCTTTTAGCTCTGAGACACTGCGGTGCTTCTAGTCCTGTCGAAAGATATCTTCAATGACTTAGTTCCAGAGAGCCTTTTGAACTTGTGCTTTTGGGGGCAATTTCTTGGTGCTTAAGAATGTTTAACTTTTAGCAGTTACTGTCTAACACCCTGGAACTGCAATGTTGTTAGGTTATGCAAACATAATTCAGATCCTTTCCAGCTTGATGGTAAAAAAGGCCACAACCAGTGGCTCAGAAAATTTCAGTGATCATAAAGTTAAGTAAATAAAACTAATCAGGAAGTCTCTATTGTTTAGAGGGAAGGGGAGCACCAACCGGAAGAGATTCTTGAAGAATGGGGTGGAATCACCAAACTTTAGAGTCTTTACAGCAAGTGGGAGCGTGTCTTGCTTAAAAGTCAGTCCCTATCTCAAAAGCAGTTAACCAAACTCAATATAGGAACTGCATGGAGATGCTTTCCGGTCTGTGCCCTGCAGAAGGACATAGGTGATCCTAATACACTGTGATAATCTATATACAGGTTGCTAGACGGAAAAGTTCAGTCAAATCCAGTCTGCTCAGGCTGTCTCAGTTTTCTCTTCATTTCCATTTGGGAAAGCCCATGCCAAAAATATGTCAGTAGGAGAACAAAGCTAGTTGTCATTCCTCTTCTCTTGTACATAAACACTATCTTACTGTCTTTCAGGATGTGGCAGATCATAGTCAATGACTGCATGTAACAGTATTGTGGTGTCAGGCCATATGGTGTGAAAAAAACTCCAAATATACCTTAAAATGCATTAAAGGTTGAGGGAAGGCAAGGGGATAGTGCGGTCTTGGACCAGCAGAGTATGATTTTGAAACAGATATAGACAAATTCGGTTTGATTCCTTCATGGATACTCTTCCTGTGAAGAAAGATCTAATTGTCTTGGAACAGATTATATTGACTTGGAATGAAGCACTTAGAGGAACACACATTCACAGGGGCCAAAACAGATTGGATTGCCTCGAATTTTTCATCTAGAGGAAGAGACAGGCTACTAAGGAATCATGAAAGTGATAGATTGCAAAGAGACTAGGCTAGCAGTGTGTGACTGCCTCTGATGGTGTCTGAGATGGGACTAGCAGGGGACAACCTCCATCTAAGCATCGAGTTGAATGGATAGTCAAGGTGTTTTGGTGGGCAGAGTCACTACAATGGCCTTAATTCTTTTATTTCTCTAAGTGCAGAAGAGTCAGACTATATAGGGCATTTCTTATTTTTAACAGGCCTCAAGCAAGGAAAATCCATTGCATACCTTTCACGCCACTCACAGGCTCATCTTTCCAGGATGAGAGGTTGAGTGTGCTGATCTCATGGCAGTCTACAAAGTTCTCAGGATAACTGCTGACCTTGAACATGTCCCTGGGTATCTTTTTAATATGAGTATTGTCACAGATCACCTTTGACAGTGAGATTTTTCTCAGGGCATGCAGCTGCTGTGGAGTGAACACTCCTGGTTTCTCCCACCAGAATCTGCAAAGATAGTTTCAAAAGCATCTCATAATCACTTTGAAGGCATTTGATGCTCATTATTTGCCAAGATGGAAATCTAGCCAAGGTGAATCCCTGCCTTGATTCATCAAGCACTAGGTGCACCCTTTTGAAAAAAGTGTCTCCAGAGGATCTGGACCAGGTCTAGATTTTTCCACACTTTCCCCTTTAGTACCCTGAAAGCAAATGTCATCTCAGGCAGGACAACTGCAGATCACCCATGGCCTGAAGCTGGCACTTCCCAACCGTATAGGTCTGTAAGTGTGGGCTGCAAATAGAGCCCATTGGCAGCTGGGACTAAAACCAAACTGTGAGCCTTGCTGAGAACACTCGCTGACATGTTAGAGGTGGACTGGATCAGTGTGTGACGTAAACTCTGACCATTTTTTCCCACAGAAAATGCCATGGAGAAGGTTTGCTCTTAGAGCTGCCTACCTGTCTCCATCACGTAGATTCCTGAATTGTGTGCCAATGATGCAGGCCAGGAGAGGCCCAACTCTGCCCTGTGGAACAAAAGGCTCTGTGATTGCCCCAATCCAGAGGTCAATATTGTCTGGTGTCCCATACAGATCTATGAACTTTTTGGCCAGCTTGGAATTTCCTAGCACCTCAGAGAGTTCGCCCACATTTTGAGGTTGGGAGAGCCCACAAAAGCGCCTCCAGGCATTGTAACCTGCAAAAGCAGAACCGCACTGATTAGGACCCTTGTCTCCCCACTGTCTAACTTGACTCAGAAGCTTAGCAGACCTCTTGGCCCATGAGCAACGCCTGCTTACTCCCTTGTCATTAAAGGATCTAGGAGACATTATTGTCTAGGTGGACTCAGTCACAACACATGCTGTTTCAAAAGGTACTTTTTGTATGCACACACTAAACTAACAATTTGGTTTGATTTTACACATGACTAAGGGTTCAGCACATTGTAAAGGTTAAAACTATCTGATGCTGAGATTGAGAGCACCAGCTCATGTGGTTTTGGGGGAATTACATTTCTAGGATCAAAATCCTGCAAAACAGCAGCATTTGCTTGTGCTTAACCCAAGAGCACCATTTCCTCTCCAAGACCTGGAGGCAATCATACCTGTTGGTAAAGACATAAAACAAGCCTTGATGGGTCAAGCTGCTCTGCCTAGCTTGTGTGAGAGCTGAACTTGGTTTCTTGGGCCTGACCTTTCAATTCAGAGCGCTCTGGCATCTTTTGTGTAAGTTAAATCTAAATTCTGCCAGGTTTTCCTGTGCACTTACTGTAGGTTACAACTTTTCTGATACATCCCAGAATGTCAAATTCATATCTAGGCCTTCCTAATACCGTATTTTCATTAATATATGTGCTATTACCCTTCACAAATGCAATCTTGTCTGATATACCTATTTCAAATACTTCAGCAAAGATCATTTTACAAATGCATCACTTAAACCCCAGCTGTTTTCGCTTTCCAATACACCACTGCTTCCCCCCTTCTTTAATACGTTGGACTGACTATCATCTTTGCTTTTAAAGTCCTTTGTCCTCTTCTTAAATCTGTCAGAAAAAGACCTTTATGATAGATAGAGCTCTTCTTCCCAGAGCCTAACTGATCCTTCCCCCTGAATCAAGGTGCTGTCTCTTCCCATCAATCTAAAAAAAGGCTTGGCACATTCTTGGAGCTACCTTAAATAGCTGAGGAAAAAGGAGGATTGTCCACAGGAAGTATGAATTTGTATCTCTTTACCTGGAAGACCATGGTCTCTTCCCCGCTGCAAGTTCAGGGCTGCTAGATCCAAACCCATTATCTCTGTCTGTTCAAAAAGATGATTCTGGAGTTCTTCAACGAGTAGTTGATTCTGTTTCATCAGTTTTGCATGATCAACCATCATTCCCCGTATTAGTGGGTCAATGCCACCTGTGTTTATTGCAAATCAAGAAAAGGCACAGACTTTTCGTACCAAATTCTAGCTTTGATGGTCCCTTTTGTGCAGGTGAAGCACTGCTGCAGTATATGTCCTTGCTATTTTAGGCACTGTGGATTTCACCAAGTTCAGCCAAACAGGACTGAGTCAGCTTCAGCTCAGACCTTCAGGAAGGCTGACTATAGAATAACTGTAATGACCATTAGATCTCAAGTGAAATTTCCAGGAAGGGCAACAGATACAGTAGTAGCTATCAGATTGGTCAAGCATGATTTCCCTTTGGTGAATCCATGCTGACTACTCCTGATCACCTTCTTGTCCTCCACATGCTTAGTGAGGACCTCCAGGAGGAGCTGTTCCATCAGCTTTCCCGGGATGGAGGGGAGGCTGACAGATCCCTGGCTCCTCCTTCTCGCCCTTTTGGAAGACTGGTGTGACACTGGCTTTCTTCCAGGACTCAGGCACCTCTCCTGACCTCCAGGACCTTTCCAAGATGATGGAGAGTGGCCTAGTAATGACATCCGCCAGCTCCCTCAGCACTCGTGGGTGCATCCCATCGAGGCCCATGGATTTGTGGATGTCCAGTTTTCCTAAATGATCTCTAACCTGATCCTCCTCGACCAAGGGAGAGCCTTCCTTTCTCCAGACTTCCTCTCTTGTCCCCAGGGCCTGGAATTCCCCAGGGCTGGCCTTAGCAGTGAAGACGGAAGCAAAGAAGACATGCAGCAACTCTGCCTTCTCTGTATCCTTTGTCACCAGGGCACCCACCCCATTCAGCAGCGGGCCCACATTTTCCCTAGTCTTCCTTTTGCTAGTGATGTATTTGAAGAAGGCCTTCTTGTTGTCCTTGGCATCCCTTGCCAGATTTCATTCCAACTGGGCCTTAGCCTTCCTTGTCGCATCCCTGCACACTCTGGCAACGTCCCTGTATTCCTCCCAAGTGGCCTGTCCCCTTTTCCACATTCTGTAGACTTC